CATTCGGTCTATAGTTAGACATGCGTCTAATTCACACGACTCTTCTACCAAAATTAAAGAAAAAAGCGGTGTGGAAGTTAGCAAGTCCACGGTATTACGAGTCATAAAAAAACAGAACACTTGAAAAGACTAAAACTAAAAAAAAAAACACAACTAAATAAGTTACGAAAGGAAATGCGCCTAAATTTTGCTCGCTCGCATATGACATGATCGAAGGAGTGGCGCTTTGTAGTCTTTTCCGATGAAAACATATTTAATTTAGAAGGCCCTGACGGCTATAATTATTATTTCCATGACATGCGTAAAGAAGAGCATATTTTAGATCGTTTACATAGCCGGGTAGGTGTTGTAATGGTATGGGGAGCCATATCCCATTATGGCACCTATGAGTTACAATTTCTCACCCCAATGAACGCCGTGGCGTATAATAATCTTTTAAAAACGGTTTTCCCACATTTCCAAAATTGTTTTGGAAATCTGAAATGGCGTTTTCAACACGACAACGCTCCAATCCACACTGCCCGATCTGTAAAATTGTGGATACAGGGCCAAAACGTTGATGTCCTGGAGTGGCCGCCGTACTCTGCGGACTTAAATATAATAGAGAACGTGTGGGGATGGCTCTCGAGAAAAGTATACGAGTCTGGAAAGCAGTATAGTACAAAATTGGAGCTCATCTACGGGATTAAAGAAGCTTGGTCTTCCTTATCATTACAATACATTGAGAAATTGTACGAGTCACTTCCCAGCAGGATCTGTGAGGTCCTGGAAAATGGGGGCGGGACCACCTACTATTAATTTGATTAGAAAATAAGTAAATAATAAGATAAAACATAAAACACTACTAGTTGTTAAGCATTAAATGAAAATTCATTAAATTTAAGCAGGGGGCGCTAATCTGATGACGCAAAATTAAATTCATATTTTTGGTATACATTTTCTTCTCAAATAAATAAAATATTGTTATACTTATAATTATGTACCTTATCTTATTTTGGATAATATTGGACATTACCCATTGTAAATACTACAGCTGTAATTAGAGCTGCAAAAAAATTAATTTCAGTTTCGCTCATCCTGGTCGAGATCACACTTTCGAAGACTCTGCCGATTATGTCCGAAAAACGGATTGGTCTGTAAGAGGATGCATCCTCCTGTGGTTCGTCAGGCTTGAGCCGCAATAACAGCCGTTGCCGTTTCCACCTGTCGGGAACGTTCCTTCCTGGAGGCATTTGTTGAAAAGCCCAGCAACTTTTTCCGGCAGCAACGATATAGCCAGCTTCGTCGCTCTGCTCGGAATGGAGCTCTTTTGGATTTCAGGTTCCTGCCGGGATGCAGTACCTCTGCTTCACTTGGTAATAGGGCTCTAACAATCCCCTCTAGTGCATCCGGGTCTGATGGGACATTGCCGCTCGCGTTGATTCTTTTTACGACCAATTTATAGGCACCTCAGAATTGTCCTCGGCGGCGTCATACAGCTTGAAGAAGCATTCCCGCTTGCTGACCAGAATAGTGTTTTTCAGTACCTTCCTCACTGCTTTATAGTGCTCGCTACATGCAACCAGGTGCCGGGCTCGCTGTAGCAACATTTTGGAAAGTAAGCAGGTGCAACATATCTCTACGATCTCCTCGCTCCACTAGAACATCCTCTGCTGGAGCATGCTTCGCTCGCTCGCCCAATCCAGGCCTGCCGTCAGCATGTTTGTTATCCCGTTAGCTCCGTCGGTCTCGTCCATCGCACTCAAGTATTCTATGGCCTCGTGGTCACTGGTGGTGTAGGCCTCAATAATCCTGCAACAGGCATGGCAGGCCAGCAGACTACTAGCGAATGTTAGGTAGATGACAGGACTCCTTTCTTTCAGGAGGACGATGCCCCTGGCATAAGTCCGGGAAGAACCCCATTCCATGGCCCAGGCGCTGAAATCACCGCCGTCTACCGCATTCCTACGTCCCCGCAGGTCGCAGCTAAGTTCGTCCAATGTGTGGTCGAAAGACTTCAGCGAAAGACTAGGCGCGAGGTAGCAGCGGTACACATCCCAGCTGTACCACATCCCAGTCGGACTTTGCTTCATGCGGTGTGCGATTCTGGATAGAAAACTATGTCGGGCAGGGATAGCCTTATGCATGGTCCCCAGTTCAGCAAAGCGACATTCATGTACACCGAATCCTCCGTTCAACGTAGAATTCGGTGCTGAGGTATATTCCTTTCGGGGTATTTCCCTTTAACAAGAAGTGTGACGATTAAAAAAACGAAAAACTCAGCAATTATATTACGTTTTGCTTTTCAAACTACGTAGAATTCCTTTAAATGAAAATAGGAAAATATCTAGGGAATAGAATCCTATTAATATGAACTTAGTATTATAATTCAAGAGTTTGTGTACTTTTTATGTAGTATAATTTTGGATTTTTATTTAACCACAGTTATTGATTTATTTTAATTTTGTAAAAGAAAATTCATTGAATTAACAAATTAAAAAATAAATTAAGAAAAAGTTTCCCTCGCACGGGATTTGAACTCGCGCTAGCCTGCTTGGAAGGCGGATGTTTTAACCCCTAAGCCACGCGTCACGATCGCCTCGCGACGACAAAGACAAGCAAAAACATAAATGTACTAAAGGGGTTGCAAGTTTTTGTCCCTCTCACGCGCGATATGCACATGTGTAAGCGGCCGGACTGTTAAACATTAAGACGTTGGTCGTATAATATTCCAAAAAAAGTTTGTGAGTATGCTAAAAGATTTACTACAATTTAAATGTAACAAATGTAAAAAGTCAGCATGTAAAAAATGCGAAGCTTCATAAATTTTTTTAAGTCACATTTTTTCCTGATTTTTTTTCCATACCGCTCATGATGAATTTGATCATGAGCCGAGCAGCGACGGCGGCACCATGAATTACCCCACTGAAAGGTAAGGGTGAATTTGATCATGAGTCAAGCAGCGACGTCGGCATCATGAATTACCCCGCTCACGAATGAATAAAAGCGAATGAGAACTTTAATAAACGATGTGTCCTTCCTACCGAACGGGTAAGCATGAAAGTTAGCATAATTTGGCTAAAAGGTCCGACTGAGATACCACCAACGTTTGCCCTGACGAAGCCATCCACCCCGCAGGCCCTCTTTGCCTGAACGGTCTGTGGCCCAGCATTGGCTGCTTCCAAACCTATAGGGTTCGTTGAGTATGGGATCTTCCGGTTGCGTCAGAGGCGCCACCTTGGCTAAACTGACTCTTGCCGGATCAGAGACAAAACAAAGATCGAGCAAGCGCTATAAGGAATTCCGTACAGCGAAATGTCGAACAAGCCAGAGATAGGTCCATGTTGTGTTTGAGGACCAAATAGCCCCAGGGATATTAACATATCCTAGAACTTCCTAATGGTCCCTATCCGAAAGTTTATTGGAAATTTTCTGAATAGCGAAAAGGTGGCTTCAATAAATAGGAAGTACCGACAATGGAGGTATGTGGGAACAGGTAATAAAAATTGAGCTACCATTGATAGATCGCTTCACACAGGGGAATTCAACATTGTTGCATTCCTCGAATGACATAGACAGTTACCATTTTCCCAGTTAGCGTTTTCCTCTAAATTTAACGATTTTTTCTATGACTGCTATATGATGAAGACGTCAGGTTTTCACATATTTAAAATTAATTAAATTAAAATTTGATCAATATAAAATCAAAGACACGACTTAAGCCAAATACAACAAAAAGAACTTGTCAAAAGACAAGTAGCAGCAGTGGTTACGATCGTTTCCTTGGCGCTACCCAAATCATCAGACCACTTGCCAGCTATCACTAATTCCTTTGGTGCCTTACTCATAATCTCGACTATATCCCAGTGGGAATTATTATTGGATTTGTTTATCCTTTTGGTAAAAACAAAAAAGAAATGCTCTTATGAAGTTGGAAGAAATCTGTGCCATATATCAGATAATTTAGTTTGTTTGTGTACAAAAATAAATGTATAGCAAATAAATTTTAAAATATTTACTTATTTTGGTTTTGAGCACTCGGATACCACCGACGTTTGCCCTGACGAAGCCATCCACCCCGCAGGCCCTTTTTTGCCTGAACGGTCTGTGGCCCAGTATCGGCTGCTCCAATCCTGTAGGGTTCGTTGAGTATGTGATCTTCGGGTTGCGTCAGAGGCGCCACCTTGGCTAAACTGACTCTTGCCGGATCAGAGACAAAACAAAGATCGAGCAAGCGCTATAAGGAATTCCGTACAGCGAAATGTCGAACAAGCCAGAGATAGGTCCATGTTGTGTTTGAGGACCAAATATCCCCAGGGATATTAAAATCTCCTAGGACTTCCGAATGGTCCCTATCCGAAAGTTTATTGGAATAGCGAAAAGGTGGCTTCAATAAATAGGAAGTACCGACAATGGAGGTATGTAGGAACAGGTAATAAAAATGGAGCTACCATTGATAGATCGCTTCAAACAGGAGAATTCAACATTGTTGCATTCCTCGAAAGACATAGACAGTTACCATTTTCCTCTAAATTTAACGATTTTTTCTATGACTTCTATATAATAAAGACGTCATATTTTAACATATTTAAAATTGATTAAATTAAAATTTGATCAATATAAAATCAAAGACACGACTTTAGCCAAAAACAACAAAAAGAACTTGTCAAAAGACAAGTAGCAGCAGTGGTTACGATCGTTTCAATGGCGCTACCCAAATCATCAGGCCACTTGCCAGATATCAATAATTCCTTTGGTGCCTTGCTCATAATCTCGACTATATCCCAGTGGGAATTATTATTGGATTTGTTTATCCTTTTGGTAAAAACAAAAAAGAAATGCTCTTATGAAGTTGGAAGAAATCTGTGCCATATATCAGATAATTTAGTTTGTTTGTGTACAAAAATAAATGTATAGCAAATAAATTTTAAAATATTTAGTTATTTTGGTTTTGACCACCACCGAATATTCAAAACATTCAATTAAAACCATAATTTCGTATTTTATTTTTTTTATTTAAGGTCGGCCGATGACACAATAACCAACCAAAGGGTAGCAATAAAGAAAATTTCGCCGTTTGAACATCAGACATATTGCCAAAGAACTTTGAGAGAGATAACTATTTTGACAAGATTTAAGCATGAAAATGTAATGTTATTATAACTGTCTAATTAATTATTGAAAATATTTAAGTTCCTAAATTTATAGATTATCGATATTCGTGACATCTTACGAGTAGATAGCATAGAACAGATGAGAGATGTTTATATAGTACAGTGCTTGATGGAGACTGATTTGTATAAACTACTCAAAACACAGGTAAGTTTCCACATTATGAAAATAAATAATGCCGGTTATTGTAGGATTAAAACAAGAAAGAAAGCTAACTTCGGCACGCACGAGTTTGTATACCCTTAATAATTAATACCATATAAGTTATATATATTTATGTTAAAAAACATCGAAGTAATGCCGACTCTTGTTACTTTCACATGTGTATACTATATTAACATTGCATTTTCCGTTCAATTTAACATTTGTTTCTTCTTTCTTCTTAAATTATACTTATTATAATTAATATATACTTATTATAATTAATATATTTATGTTAAAAACATCGACTCTTGTACATTCACCAATACTTACTATACTAACAGTTTTACATATACAGTTTTAAATTCACAGCATTGTATTTTCCAGTACATTTAACAGTTGTTTCTACGTCAAATATATAACATTTTCGATTTTCATATGATTAAAACCGGAATAGTAGAATATTACAAAATTAAAGTAAAAATGCATATAATTTTCTTATAAAAATGTTACGATCGTTATTTATATATGATTTAGTTGTTATATGATATAGTCGTACGATCCGGCCTGTTCCGACTTACATATATACGAATAAGAGTTTCATTCAGATAGCTTTTAAACTGACGGACTCATTTGCTTTGAAACGAACGGACAGGCGGACATGACTAGATCGACTCGGGTGTTCTGATCAAGAAAATATATACTTCATATGGTTGAAAATGATTCCAGCAAGGCGTTGCAAACATATGGCTAATATTAGAATTCACTGCAAGGGCACGAAAGGACATATTATTTTGGAACGCCCCGTAAGATCAAATTAGAACCATACCATTAATTAGAATTACATATAAACAATTTATATTAATTATATAAATATATGTACACATAGTTAAATATATAGTTATAAGTTTAGAAGTTATAGGGAATCAGGAACCTTCCACAAACTTGCTTGCGGTTTACATTCCATTATATTACGGTTTACGGTTAGGTGTCCGAAGTATTCACTTTACGTTTTTAAATGTGTTTTTTTTTTTTCTGATATTTGATACAAATTTTATGTCAAAATTTGATTTTTCGAATATACATATAAGTTACTTATTTATAATGAAATAAAAATGTAATGAAACCCGACATGAGTACCTGTGGAATTACTTGAATAAGCAATGACCATTTGACATTGAACAACAAACGACCTCTGTTCAACTATGCATAACTTTGTCAATTTGATAATCGATATATAACTTTGACAAAATGTTCTGGAAATTTGTTTTTATTTAAATCAAAGCCGACTTAACCTCGAATCTGGAGAGTTCTCCACTAGTCATCTACTTGGATATAGGTCGCTGTTAAAAACAGTTGTCTCATATTTATTTATTAATGCGTTCAATTTTTCTTTGTGCACAAAGACCTTTTTGTTTTTGTGAATTTTTGTGTTGTTGACATTTGTGTACCGATATATATTGCCTCTGCCGAGTGCCGTGTGTTTTCAGGGTAAACCTTGCTTTTTCGATTTTTGGTGGGATCTTCTTTTTCTTGGCGAAGAGAATGAGGTTCGTCTTGTCCGCGTTTATAGTGAGTCCTACCCTATACGTGGTAAAGTGAGTTTTAGAAGCATGCGAAATAAAAGTCCTGTAAGAACCGAAGAAGTAATAGAGCTTTAAAATGGTCTTAAAAAAGCTCTTTTGAACGAATTTAAACCGGAGGTGGATAGCAAACAAATTCATGGGCAGCTGAGTGAGTAAACGTTTAAAAGAAAGGTGGCAACAAATGAGTAGGAGAAAGTATTTTAAAAAGAGAGGCCGAAGCTCATTGATGACATGTTCAACAGCAAACCATTTTCTAGAACCATAAACATGAAGAACGATATAAAATATTTTAATTGTAACAAGAAAGGAAGCTAATTTCGTCACGACGAAATTTATATATCATTGCAGATAGAACTTCTGTTCGGAGCAGACAGCTAGCGCCTAATTATGCGCGCATGGGTGTATGGCTGCACCTGCTTCGCTCTTAGCTCTTGTCTTTTGTTATCTATTTCTCTCTCTCTTCTGTCGCCCTATCTTTTTAGCTAAGCTACATTGTAAGTGTTTATATACATTGAAGCTAAGCGAACAGTCGTTAGTTGCAGCTCTCGACTTGAGAACAGAAAAAAACGAAAATATACACAGCATTTAATCAACCTAATTCGAGCGTTAGTTATTATTGCTTAAGGGTGGCAAATTCGTTGTCTTCCCAATATTTCATCTTTTCAAGTGAACGGACGTGTTTTTTTCTTGCGCTCTCGTTTTGTATTAAAGTTTGAATCTAACCACCGGAGTTAACTTAAATTTTCTAATTTGTGTTTATAACTTCCCGTTCACTTTGCGTGTGCATGCAGCTATTCTAATTTGTGTATATAATTGGTTTTATTTTCCAATTTAGTTGTGCTGCTAGTGCTAGCTTTTGCACATTTTGCATTCCTTTTGTGCCTTCTTCGTCTAGCTTTTGTTTGCGCCGTCGCAACAGCTAAACGTTTTATCTACTTATCTCCCACGCTCTCCCACTCTCTCGCTTTAGCTGTGCCGCTGCATTTCTTATCTTATCTGATATCATTCGCTCGCCCGCTCTCTCGCTCTCGCTGTGACTCTTCACTTCTTTCTTCATAGCTCTGTTGTTATTTTTTCCAAGTACAAGTACAGTGGTAAGTCCTTATAATGTCCGGAAATATTGTCTGTTTCGTCAAAACCTGCAAAAAGGCAATTGCTGCAGGTGACCTTACAATCGACTGCTGGCTGTGCGACAACGTCATGCACGCCAAGTGTATTGGAGTTGTAGCTCGGACGGTGGACGATGTAAAAAAAAAACATCGGCCTGCGTTACTGTTGTGAGGCCTGTCGCGATGTAGAAAGGGAGATGATGTCTTTCATGCGGCAAACCAAAAGCGGTTTTAATGGCATTTTAACGAGTTTTCGTAAAACTACTATTGGTGGGCAGCATGTAGACAGACCCCAACTATCTGCAACGGGCTCTCAGCAGCAGCCTCCCTCGGCTTAGCCCTCGACCTCAGCATTATTGACCCCTCAAAGTCCAGTGTTTAACGATATATCTGCCCAGGGTGTTAGGCCCGGAATACCGGCCGACAATGGCACGGCAGATAACCACTCTGCCATGCCAAAAGCCTTTATAGCGGTTCCACCGACGGGACATATTTTTGTCTCGCGGCTCTCCCCTGATCAAAGATCGGAAGATGTTCCCGCCTTTATACAAGGCAAAACCAGAGCCGAAAAAATTAAGATAAAGGTGGAAAAGTTCAAATTTTCTTACGCAAGGGACATTTCATCTTTCAAAATAAATGTCCCTAACGAGCTCTTTAACACTATTTGCTCTCCCACCTTCTGGCCAGAGTACATCGTTGTTAAGGAGTTCGGGGCGAAGAAAAAGAAAACGCGGCCTGTAGGAATAACTCTTCCCAGGCCTGATGTTACCACTGCGCCTTCTACGTCTTCCAATCCCGACCCAAAAAACTAACCCACTCCCTAGGTATTTCCTATCAGAATACAAGAGGCCTACGTAGTAAGATTCCTAAATTGTATTCTGATAGCCTTTCGTTTGTATCTCAGGTTATTGTGCTCACAGAAACCTGGTTAAAGCCGGAGATTCTGAGCTCCGAAGTTTTTCCAGCTGTGTTCACGGTATATCGGCTAGATCGCCCTATTAGACGCGGGGGTGGAGTTCTTATAGCGGTGGACTCCTCACTCATGTCAGAATTATTAACCTTAGAGGAATGCAATGATGTTGAATTCCTCTGTGTGAAGCTATCTATCAAAGGTAGCTCCATTTGTATTACCTGGTCCTACATACCTCCACTTGCGGAACTTCCTATTTATTGGAATCACCTTTCCGCTATTCAGATGGTTTCCAGTAGACTTTGGATAGAGACCAGTTGGTAGTTCTAGGAGCTTTTAATATCCCTGGTGCTATTTGGAGCTCAAATAATTCCACCAATACTCTCCATACACCTACACAACATGACTTTATCGCTGGCTTGTTTGACATTCCGCTGTCTCAAATCAACCATGTTCGAAATTCCTTACAGCGCTTGCTCGATCTTTGCTTCGTCTCTGATCCTGCGAGAGTCAGTTTAGCAAGGGTGGCGCCTCTGACGCAGCCCGAAGATCCTTATCATCCAACTTGACACTTGATATTGGGTGTTACGTACAGAATATTTCTGACCGTCCAGCCAATAAAGTCCTATGTTTTCGCAAAACGGACTCTGAACGGCTGAATAATTTTATAAACGAGTTCAATTGGTCCGATCTATACATGTGCACTGACATGGCAGTTGCCGTGGATATTTTTTACAGTGCCATGAATTCATTTTTATTGAATGTGTTCCGTTATATTATCCGTCAAGCTCGAATAAACCGCCGTGGTTTACTATAGAGTTGAGCCGACTTAAAAATAAAAAATCTAGACTGTATGCTAAATTTAAAATCACCGGTTCTCAATCTGCCCTTTCATCTTATTTATCAGCTCGGTCAAACTTTACCGTGCTGAACGCGCAGTGTTATAAAAATTATTTAACTCGTTGTAGGGCCCAGTTCTCACAGGACCCAAAACAGTTTTATAATTTCGTTAACACTAAACGTAAGCCTAAAACAAATCCTTCCTCGCTTTCATTTGAAAATACTAATGCAAATAATGATCAGGAAATAGCCGATCTATTTTCGCAGTATTTTCAAACAACCTATTCTAGCTCTTCGTATCTACACCAGACCTATTCCTACGACATACGCAAATCAAACTTAATTTTCTGTCCTAGCCTAAACGAAAGCTCTCTCCTTTAGATCTTCATCGTGTCAAGCCAGTTTATTCGCCAGGTCCCGACGGAATTCCTGGCTGTGTGCTCAGGTATTGTGCCGACGCCCTGTGCTATCCCCTTCTGAAGTTGTTTACCTTGTCCTTGGAAACCTCCCACTTTTCCATTATTTGAAAGGAATCGTTTATTATTCCTCTCCACAAAAAAG